GGTAGATACAAGTCGCCAAGAATGTATAGCAACACTCCCATGATCAATTTCGATTGTGGTAAATTTAGTCAAGCCATTTTATTATTACTGTTATTATTATTATCCAGTAGACATTATTATTCTGGAGATACCACCAGTATTGTAGTTTGACAACTATAAACCAGTAACGCCTATAGTCGAATCGCGTCCACCCAGTCAAAATCAGAAGTCAGAAGCGAGGGGGTCGGAAGATACAGGTGGTCCTGTAATCGAGATTTGATGTGTAACATTGCTGGTTACACAAGGTAATTTCGGTTGCGGTTGATATATCCCAGAGTACCTATCCAGTAACGGTTGATATAATGGGTCTATGGCGTGCTTAATTGTGACTGGAGATAATCTTCAACCACAAAAAGGGGTTACGCAAACAGATAACTTAGTATTTTTGTCTATTGACCTTCGTTTGCGAGTGTCGATGAATAGATTGTGGTATTGTAACAGGTCTATACCAATGATTGACATAGAGCCATCTGCAACAAGGGAGATTCAGTGTACGGGTTTGCGTAAACGCACTTTAAGGTAGACGTACCTTTTACCGTAAGTAGCGATCGGCTTTCCGTTTGCAGCCTGTAATCTTAAAACAGACTCGTGAAGCCTGTCATTAGAATTCGCGGGAAGAACGCTAACTTCTGTTTCAGCGTCTACGAGATAGCGAACTTTCGTTGTCACACCCATGACGTATAAAAGACGGCTATGTTTGCCGGCTACGGTTGCCATTAACGCGTGCCGGCCGGGAAGTTTCCCGAGTTTTTAGTCGTGTCGGTCGACTTGGAGTTCGAGTAATTGCAGGGTTTCCTGAAATTTCTAGAAGGTAACCTTACTATGTGACACATCTACAGGTAGGGATCGTCCAATAGTGCCAAAACATTATCGACGCAACGTCTTCAATACGTTGCACAATCTTTCTCATCCAGGTGTTCGTGCATACATCAAGCTTATAGCCGAACGGTTTTGCTGGCCTGACATGAATAAAGACGTGAAGGAGTGGCACGCTCCTGTGTAAGCTGTCAGAAATTCAAGGTAATTAGACACAAAAAATATCCCTTAGGCTCTTTCAAAACCCCTGATGCTCGTTTCGACCATGTTCATCTGGATTTTGTAGGACCCTTACCCGATTCAAACGGATACTCATATCTCTTAACATGCGCAGACCGTTTCACTCGATGGCCAGAAGCAGTACCGATTAAGGACATTACTGCTGAAACAGTGGCTCGCGCTTTCGTCGATCGATGGGTAGCACATTTTGGCTGCCCTTCAACCATCACTACAGACCGTGGACGCCAATTCGAATCTGGACTTTTCCGTTGTCTGACCTCACTATTAGGAATCACGCGCTTCCAAAAGACCGCCTACCACCCACAAGTAAACGGGTTGGTAGAACGTTTTCATCGACAACTTAAAGCTTCACTACCAGCTACAAGCGTTTCACAGTGGACGGACGCTCTTCCAATCGTCTTGCTAGGTATCCGCAATGCAGTGAAAACTGACATTGGATACTCTGCATTTCAACTCGTTTATGGAACGACACTCCGACTTCCAGGAGAATTCGTGGGTCCTTAGAATTCCCCATTAAACATGGATCTAAATTCTTAAACGAGTAGGCTTACAAACGCAATGCGTTCAGTTAAACCTGCTCACACTCGACCTCAATCAACTGATGTTTTTGTTCAACCTGACTTACGACATAGTACACACCTTTTCTTTCGTCCAGATTCACATCGACGATCCCTCGAATCAGCATACGAAGGACCCTTCAAAGTTCTTGAACGTGAACCTAAGTACGGTAGCATCAGTATCGATCGCCTCAAAGCAGCATACTTAGAAGGAAACCCTAGCTACGTCGATTTTCCTTCAGTACACTCGAACGACACGGCTCCCACACTCGTAGTACCTCACATGACAGTCGACACACACCTTGATACTTCGTCAACGTCGGAAAATAAACATAAGACAACACGTTCTGGAAGAAGAGTAAGATTTCCAGAACACTTAAACGACCATTGCACGTAGGACACAAACTTTATCTCGAATTGCAATTTGCATTATGTATTATAGAAAAAAGAATTTTTTAATATGCTCGTTTTTTTATACATTTATTTCAAAAAAAATTTTTTACTTCTCAGCGCATATATATATATTTTAAAAAACAAAAAAATTTTTTACAATCGCTTTTACTCTGTCGCAAGAGTATTAGTTTATTTATTTTCTTTTCCCGCTCATCTTGTATCCTTACGCAAAAAACATGTATTTTGATATGCACTAACACGTTCTTATTTTTCTTTTCCAGGACGGCTGGAAAAGAACGACGAAGGTATACAGGGAACCGAATTTTTCATTGTACTTTGCTTCCTTTTAACTATGTTGTACTTCATGGTCTTTTAGTGTAAGGAAAGACGACCAGACGCTGATAAACATAGCAAGCTATCAGAAGAGTGTTTACCAACGACAAACTCGTTGAGTTTAAACTTCTGGCTCGTCACGTTTCAGGGTCATCACTACCTCACAAGTGGGGGTGTGATCTGTAGCTGTAAACAATTCCCCAAAATCAATAGCTCTTTAAGTGTTCCACATTGGATGCTAACCACGTAGTTTTCAGTGGACTTGTTTAACTGAAGGCGTTCGGTCATGCATCCGTACCAGATCACGTCAAGAACCAGCGTGGGACACAGCTCCTACGTTCACTAACCAGATTAGAGTAAACGCTTTTCGATATTTTGATAATGTATCAAATATATCTTTCCGATATCTTCGCATCTGACTTCTGATTTCGATTGGTTGGGGAAAGCTTCGAATATAGAAGGTGTTCATAGTTGTTTATAGTAGTTTATAGTTTATAGTTGTAAAACTAGAATACCAGTCGTATCTTCATTATGATACCAGCATCAGTCGGGGTTGTCTGTCTCTCGTGGTCTAGAGACAGACCGCCTACGTGAAACGCTTCTTCGCGGGGTTTGTCACTGTTTAGGGTCATTACGAAATCGGAAATAGCGTGTTGGTGTATGGCATAGTTCTGTGATGTCATTCGGGGTCGTTTGAGGTTTTTCTTTGACTGAAAAAAACCTCGGCATATGTAGATTTCGTGATTTCTAAGATACGATCAGCATATGCAGCCAGTTCGTCTACAGCGTTGTTTTTATACGAGACTAGGACTGCCCGCACCTGTTGCCGGAGTTTGGATAAGTAAAGTTGTTTGAATAGGCCTTCGTCGAAGGTTCTTTGACCTATCACCTCTTTCATTCTAAGCAATATATCTGTCGCAGAAACATGTTACTGGTCGATATTATTGGGGAATCGGTCTAACTTTTGTCTGTCGGTTAGATCTCCACGTCTCAGAATCGATCGTTTAAGTGTTTCGTAAGGTTCCGAAACATCACTAGTAAACTTACTAGGTGTGACGTACCTGTTAAATTCGCACGGTAGTGCATTAACAACCGCGAGGAACTGTGTGAATGAGTCCGTAATGCCATGCCCGCAAAAGTCGGCTTCCGCGTAGCAGAACCAAACTTCGATATTTCCCGGCCAAAAAGGCGTTAGCTGAATCGAGGGTGGGAGGATAGTCTTTAACTTAAATACTTTGGGTGTCTGTTCCGCCATAGTGAAAAATCAAGTAATATAATGAACGAAAAATAAATGACCAAAATATATCCGAAAACTCGAAAAAATATCACAATATATAAAAATCAAATAAAGCAAAACAATGATTTATGAAGTTCCAAAGAGGAGCAGACTAACAGTTTATCGTTTGGTGTACCAGATCACGTTGGGCTCGCCACTGAAGATACCACTAGTATTGTAGTTTGACAACTATAAACCAGTAACGTCCATAGTCGAATCCCGTCCACCCAGTAAAAAATGAGAAGTCAGAAGCGAGAGGGTTGGAAGATATATTTGATGGGTTATCAATATATCGAGAAATGACTGATCTAGTCTGGCTAATAATCGTAGGAGATGTTTCCCACGCTGTGCTGTAATGTGATCTGGTACGGGTGCATGACCGAGCGCCTTCAGCTAAACAAGTTCACTTAAAACAATGTGGTCAGCATCCAATGTGGAACACTTAAAGAGCTATTGAATTTGGGGAATTATTTACAGCTACAATTCGGACACTAACAATTCGTCTGATTCTTTGTACCATTATGATCACAATCATGTCTTTATGGACGTGTTCTCTTAATCACATGTGATAACCTACGCGCATACATTTTTCCAGCTTAAATATTAACTGCTGTAATATCGATCCAGTAATCATTCTCTTCCCCAGGTATACATGTACTGGAATTCCATTAGTAACCTTACCTTGCCTCTCTGCACCCTAAGTCCATTTGAATATAAATTCACTCCTGTATTCGTTTGCTCACGCAAATTAGCCTGTCTGCTCCAAATTCACTTGATGTGCTTATACCTTTGTTATCTGTGCTATCCTCTAATAAACTCTAGTCCCTACTTCTTACTACCTACTTATTTCAAACACGGTTGGGATTTATATAATAACGGTTATCAGAGTGATTGACTAATAAATCCAAGCCAATACAGGTTTCATCCACGAAAAAGAGCTAGCCCTATGTGCATCACTTTAGACTGAACGTAAAATTTCCGTAGAATCGCTCGTACTCACATTTAATCACATTTTTACACAATGGATTTTTACAGCTGTAATTCGGGGGATTTCAGATCCTACTAGCTGGTGCACTTAGAATTCTATTAACTGATAATTATGTAGGAAGGTATAAACAGTAAGTTTATACCCACAGAATGCCTTCTGAAAGTCAGAATAAACGAGAAAATATTATATCAGCGTCTTTCTATTTGTCTGTTTTGCGTTTTCATTTCCCCTTCCCTTCATTCAACAGTCTTCTACGATATCAAGAATCATTACGATTTACGTTTAAAAATACCTAGGATTTTATTCCTTCTTTGGGAAGCACATTAGGCGAGATCGGTTGTTTTACACTATATTGGAAATACTTAAAATTGGAAAATGTACACAGTATGATAATGTGCGTTACTTATGAATGTAATAATCAATTTACGACAACTGGAGGCCACTTGACCTCTAAAGGTCGTGCCACTAAAGAACATATAGTTTTTAAATTTCATAATATATTCTGTGCTATTATACGTCTACAACTGTTGGATTTTGACATTACTGTAACATCCATTTACCTCACTGAAAAGTCTGTAAAATAGGTAACTTGGAGAAGGTATTTTCTCAGAACCTGGTAAGCGTTCAACGTAAATAAAAAACAGTTTTGACACTAGTAGACAAGGGCAGTCGTGTATACACCACCTTCAATTAAATAATGGGTCATTCGGATAATGCTTCGCTAAATTTAAAAAACGTATACAATAAATTCAAAGCTTGTGCAAACGGCGATGACGTTCTGCTCCCTGAGTATTGTGAAGCATATACGGAGGTTTCTAAGTAAGTTGGATTTTTTTGCAAGTTTGCAGACTTCTCGTATACTTCGGAAATCTTTTTTATTTCGTGACCAGTGATGTCAGTCACAAAGTTTCGGAACTCCGTGACTTATATGCAGCGGATAAAACTAATTATAAATCTGTCGAACAAATGGTTCTTTATGAGGAAAAGCAGAATGAACACCTTCCAGTTAAAAAGCGGAAATGCGTCGGGTCCCGAACGCTTCTTCGTCTTCATCGGGCTCTTCTCTTTGTCATTGATTTAATGCAGGAAATTTGCAGAGGCAAGTTACGAGGTTTTTAATTTATTAGTTCATATTATTGGGATGAAGGAGTTCCCCATTATTTCACTTTGGTTAGTTGTAGATAACGTGGGATCTGTCACAAACTTCCGTTAGTTCAATTTTTATCATTAAGTATTACATTGACGAAGTCCAAACCTCATATACGACTTCAGCAAGGAGTCACTAACCCTTTAAGAGTAACGTTCCTTTCGCTCCGAATATCCTTAGTTTCCTCAAGTACAATTCTTATTTGTGCATATTGGAGCTGACGATAAATTGGCATATACAAAGTGACCTAGCTACCGTAATCGAATTGGCAAAGCTGCTGATATAACCGGGCGTGGTGATTCACTATTCATGCAAAAGTATTTGTAAGCTCTTGGTCATTGTACTGTAGTTATGTCTTTAAGTTCGGAAAACAAATACAACTCGGTCACAAAATATGTCGCTTCAGTAAGTGAAGTATATTTAGTCGGTAACTACAATTGTTTAACTTACTCCAACCCTAAAAGTGCCTTGGGTTCGCATCCAGGGCGCTACAGATTCTATCTTATATATATCATTTCTCCACCTTTTGATTTGGCTTAGCGCTACTCTATGGTAGTTAGCGTTAAGACCATAAAACATACTTTAGCAGAAGCTAATCACGTTTCTGGCAGAACCATTTGTATTACTCTGTTTTTGTATTTAGTCAGGACAAGCATTTTATTGACGCTACAACAGGTTGCCTGAGACAACTATAACTTATGTAGTGTTCAACACCCTTTCTAATCTGCAGGGTTATTATTACCCATGATCTATAAATTTTCACTAAAATCTACTTCTTAGGTCTATTTGTATTTATTCAATCATTTGGTTTCTTCCAAGATTTTTTTTATCTGATTATTACCTCAGATTCCACTTTCAAAATTCTTTCGCGATTTATTATCATATTTTTCTAGACTTTTTGTTAAGTAAAGTACTAACTCGTAAGTTTTGATTGTTTTAACTACAAAACATATTAATACCCCCGGACGTTGAGAAAATACAAATGCTGTTGATGTAACATGCTGTGAAGCAGCATTATTAGTAGTTCAGTAAACTGTAGTTACATAAATGTCCGCACTTTTGCTAGCTTGTAATCAACAAAATATGTCGAATACTTGGAAGTCCGAAACGCATCCATAACAACCCCTGTATACATGATTTCTTTAAAAATCAATAATTAACATTAACTCGAATTTCACCTTTTAGTGCCACTCAAAGTGTATTTGAAAAATGTTGTAGCACCACCGAATGAACAATTGAAGACTATGGCTCGGTCAGTGTACGACAAAACCCTCGCTCAATACCATCCATGGCCTATTAGAAAGGCTGTAGGAGTTGCTGTTTATGCTCTCCCTACACGGGAACATTTAGTTCAACATATCGTCCAATCTCAACCTCCTGAGAGTGGTTTGCTTACAAATGAACAATGTTCGGAGTTCCTCACTTCACATACTTTACCTGTAATGCGCAAGGTATATAACTGTATTCAAGCTGTTTTCGAGGAACATGATATGCTAAATTTGCCATAGTTATCTTGATGTATACTATTTCAGAATTTAATATTTTTGTACTTCAAAAACAATAGTTATAAAGATAAGTATTGCTTAAAATAATAAAAATTACTTAAGTAGCAGTTATTTTGCTTTCGTTTAATGTTATATTTCCATATCCGTAATTTACGATACTATCTCGTTTCCAATGACGGCATATTAGTCTTTATAAATTAGTTAATTATAACACTTCCTGACATATTTAAAAATCTCCATCATTTCTGTGATGCTTTAACGTTGATTTATATTCCTCTTTTACATTTTCAATAGATTCTGGTTTGTTTTGTAGTCAGTTTTCTTCGAAGCACCAAAAACTACACAGGAAAAAATGCTGTTTTTCACTTAACTGTATTTATTGTATTATATAAGTACAACTGTAACAAAATAGACAAAGGTGTTCGTTGTATCTTTTTATTAATATCAGGATGGGGTTTCTTGGAAATTGTAATTTTTAATAGTTGACTTCAATGGCGGTCTAGTTTACATTGACTCATGAATCCAACCATTTTTTTAATTACACCAAGATATAAAAAACTAGGATAAAAATCGTTCCCGATAAACCTTTATTATTCTTCTTTTGTCAAATTTCTCTGGTAATATAGAATTGGCAATATCATGGTGTAAGAACAATGTACCAAGTACCTGAATAAATTAATAATTGTGAAATATTTAAGGAAATCTAAATGTTCTGATTGAATAATTTATGACAGCATGTTGGCAGTGAAAATCCACCACTAAGGAAATACTAGTCAGTGGGTAAAACACTTGATAGTGTTTTGTAAGTTACTCATTTACTCCAAACTCCATGTAACTGAAATCACTTAGTTGCTGATGCGAGAGTTTTGGGACGTAAACGTAAGGAGTAATTTCGTTGAGTCTTGTTTGCAATTAGGTAGTTATTTTCGAATCGCTTAACGAATTTAAGATTATAAAACTATACACCTTTAGAAACCTGTTGGGGTCTTCTATACTCGAAGAATTCATTTATGTATGCTATTCTGCAAGTACTTTATTCTTTGGTTGATAGTATTTTACCTAATAGTGTAAAAGACTTGAAATGCAAAGACCGAAATGCATGTGTTTATCGTATTTCGAGTCAGTGATAATAAAGATTTTTGAAGTAAACATCATGTGTGATCGTTCTGTAGATTAGATTTCGTAGAATAATATGTTTATGAAGTATTGAAAAAAACTGAGTAACATAGAACCCGACATAGTAGTTCTTCATTTTGAGTGGTACAGTTTCTATAAGTGATTCCACCACTTTTATAACTTCAAGTTTCTGCTATTTTATTACTGGCATATACGAGAAGGTGTTTGTCACTAGTGAACGTGTCAGATACTAGACGCGGTTGAATCCAACATTTTCTCTAGAATCAACTTGGTTTTTGGTCAATGGATGACGTTATTATCAGCCGTCTATATACGATGGGCAGTGATGGTTTAGTAGTCCGTTTGCATTTCCTAAAGTTCTGGTTAAAATGTACATTCAATTTCGAACAATTTACAGATAAACCAAGTCTTTCGAACTGTTGTAAAAAAAATCTCAATAGTTTTAACTATAAGCCCATTTATATACATCAATAACGAAGCAAAAAGTACACTCACTGATTATAAATTGATCCATTAACTTATTGTAATATACTCGCTTGGGTAAAAATAAAACTACAAAGGAAAAAATGAAAACATCAATTAATCATTTCAATCTCTTCGAAAGAATAAACTTTACAGGAACTGCTAGTGCATAAAAACCATTTCCAGATCTCATACCAAATATCTATGAAATGATCATGTAAAACATTTATATTTTATCCGAAATCATTTAAATGTAATGATCATAGGGTGAAAAGTCATGCATACATTACAACATCATATCTATTCAAATAACAATGTGTCTTTTGTATTTTATGCCTAAATTACTTGAGAAAAAAATCCAGATTGTCTTAAAGTAACTTAAGGAAACTTTTTCTGCAGTGAATTTATCTCAACTACATATGGATTTACAATAATCTACTATAAATATCTCAGTTTATAGATATTTTAACTTTTTCTATAAATATCTGTATAACACTGTCACTATGGCGGAATAGTCGATAAAAAACAGCTACTTTTAAAAGTAATTAATATACTATTAGATTAAATAGTAAGAGACTTGGAATAATTGAATGTTGAACAATCGAACTAACGAGAGCAATTTCATATATGATCAACATTAAAGAATATAAAAGGGGTACAGTTAATAACAGAAATTCTTTAAATACTTACAAAATAATATTAATATGAGGTCCGTCTACCTCATGTACATCATACTAGAAAACCACTTATTCTTTCTTGATAACAATAGCCAGCAAGTTAGCATTCGTTCATGTGCTTTTTTAATAATTTAAGATGAAACGTGATAATTTAATACATATAAATAACTGATTAAGACAGCCGTCTTTCAACCAAAGGGTCGCAGGTTTGAATTCCACTCCAAGTACTTCAATTCAGCGAACCGGGTAGTATCACTTGTCATCACTCTAATAGTCTGACTCAAGGCCAACTACATATGTCGTGTATATTAAGGCTATATCGAGGCAATACGTACATTATGTACATATGCCAATAAGAGAATGATCAATTTCAGTCCTAAATATCAATGGGAAGATCCAAACAAACAATATCAAGTAAATTTAAACTTTGTACTTATCTTTTAATTTACAACTCGATGTACTAATTGTAATAATTAATTAATAATGTACTTATTTCAATAATTGTCTCATAATTATTTGTTTCATTTTCAATATACAAACATTAGCAAAACACTTCGTATATTTTGTACTTTCTTATTGTTAGTTTACTGTCTTAATTAAAAGTTTCATTTAAATTTATTTGTTGAATCGTCTACTCGATCATTGAAAAACTGACATTTTGATTGATAAATGTCTCGTTTTTTTTTGTGGAATTACATTGTTAATGAGATCTTAATGATAAATTCCAACTAAAGCTTTCCAGACAAATACGTCCAACCACTTAAATATCCAAATTAATTCAAACAGAATATTCTCATAAGTATAAACGTATGATAAACTTATATTATTGCTATCAACCATCCGATTTTACTTGAATTCTTAATCATTTAACATGATTATTACTGTGATTTTGTAATGCTTTATATATGGGTTTCGACTAGCAGAGAGTTTCAGAGCTTAGCTCTGATCACTATCTGGTAGTTGAGTCTTATGAGAACTGGAAAATTAAACGTTAATATATACAAGCAGTCAAATACCTAACTTAAATTCAAATTCTTAATATGTTTCCTAAAGTCTTTAAAACGTTTTACTCATAATATTCATTTCCTCAGTGAATGACTCAACAATTCGTCTCGAATTCTTTAATGCATAACAGCGTTACGTTGATTGATAACAGGTCAGTAGTCAGTGTTATATTCGTCTAGTCCTTTAGTGATGGTCAAATTCTAACGATCAAGTTCCAATATAATCAGCAGTGTAATTGAAATGGTTCAGAGTTCACTATAATAACATGTTTGGTAATTGGAGGCGGTTGATAGTAAATCCTATTTTGATCTGGAATTTGTGCTAGTTCTTACTAGTCACTAAGGCGTATTGACAATCTTGATGAAATTGACATTGTGTGTAGAATCCGATATCTAAAAGAGTTAAGTATTACTTTTTTATTTTCAACTTTCAATCTTAGTAATTTGATGTAAGAATCTCTCTTTATCTAATTTTTTAAAAATTATGATAAAATATAACTAATAATAAAATTTTTTCAGGAACTATTTCACAGTTCACTTAGAAACTAACTTGTTTCCTTCAAATAATTATAGAAATTAGATGACTTAAAATAAATTAATAAATAAAACATACATCATTGATTCTACTGTTACCCATAATGTATTTATTTTAAAAACCTTTTATAATAAAATGAGTGTCTATGGAAGCAATATACACAGAATGTACATATGTTAATGAAGACTAATAAAAACTCAAGTTCTAAATAACAATAAGATAAACTATTTAACTATAATTGTTTTATGTCTGAAGCGGTTTACGAATTCACTTAGTTAGCGAACGGAACAAAGACTTGTGACCAAAGACCAATAAGCTAGGTATTCTGACGCGTCCCCGACCCAGCTAACTGAAGTGAGAAGTCCAAGTTGGTAGTAGGGAAGATATATTCTGTAAGAAACCATAAGCACAAGCAATCACAACAGGTACAAATCAAACATATATATACAGCATGAAATTTTCCTTATGAAGCATTACAAAACAGCACACTAAAAAGATACGACGGACCAATAGCGTTTAAGATATTTCCAAGTGGAAAATACAACTCGAAAGTGAAAGGAGCGCTTTTGGCGCAAAAACAAAGGAATTCAAATTTTCAAGATAAAATTACAAAATAATTCATTTACCAAGTGAGTTCTAGGAATTTAGCATACCCAACAAATAGCGATGTTGAAATTTATTTTAGTATATGCCATTAAAAAAACTGAACTTGTTTACATCATTCAAATGGCCAACTATCATAGAAATAGATTGTAACTTCTAATGCTTTTTTATAATTCTCTATTTTAACATTTTGAGAAATCTCCATGACAAACGTTTTGTTTGTATTCGATTTTCCGTGCCTGGATTCATTCTTTTTAGAATATTAAAATGACTATTTTTATTATTCTGTAATATCTTTAAACTAGTAAACAGACTGATTGATTCATTTGCATACAATATTGAATATTTTTATATCTTCAAAGTTTATTCGATTTTGCCTGTTTGATATGGTTACTTGACTATGGAAACCTCTTACTACTAGTTCATTAAGATCTATCTTACCAATAACCATTTGACCAAAAACACGGATGGCCAACCTCAAGGTTTTATCAATCCAACGAGGTTCCCTTATTAGTGGAATACAGTAGGCCAATATTCTTTCCATTACTTTATAGTCCTGATTTATAACCTTAATCAAAAACAAAGGTTTATACACATCAATTATCTGATAATAATTTTTACATAACTATGTTAACTTACTATAAATTAATCACAATAAACAATGAGTAATTGTACTTAGGTAAAAATATTGTTTCATCTTCACATAAAACCATTTTAAACAAGCTCATTTTATATATGAGCAACACAAACATTCATGAAAATGTAATTCATGTGACAAATGTTTTGAATCGTTAAGTAATATTAGTTAATATGGGCATAATACTTTCATCTTTTTTTTATTACAAAACATCCAATACGAATATTCGGCTTCGTATACCCCACCTGTTTCTAAATGTAGTTCTTTTTTTACAAATTATTAACTGTTACTAAAAATACCAACCACTCTATTTTGAATAAGAAAGGTTGGTTCAGCGAAGAGTTCTTTTTTCGGCAATACATTACATTGGA